TTATACCCAGCAAGACAGACTCCTTTACACCTAAACAGTATTCCACGGACCCATCTCCACTCCTGTCGTAAAACTTGATATTCACTGGTTCCTGTGTTTCTCTCTTCCCTCAAGACCATAACCTGTTTAGAGACCCATGGTTGGTCTTTTCTTTATATTGTCCCTTTGTAACACAGAGTTTCCTAGTGCTTGTGGATGAATGTTACGTATAAACAGGTACTAAAGTTTTCCAGAAGAAGGATCAATTCCTTCCAATTGGAAGAATCAAGGAAAACTTTATGAGTGTTCTTAGGAAGAAGAAATGGAAGGAAAATGGTGGCTGATGCGGGAAATTCCCCAGGCTAAAGTATGAGCTGGTAAAATATGTTTGGAGGGTGCTCCTTTGGTTTGGTTATAGGATTTGATAATCATAAGGGCTTCCGAGCTTTCGGGGTTATGAGAATCACTTGGGGAGATTCAAAATGCAGTAACATCTTGGCTCTGGCAATGAACCAATCAAACCAGAGGCTCTCAGAAAGAAGCACAAGAGTAGAGATCTGAGTCTTTCTAGTTTTTAAAAGAGCCTCACTCGCTTCTAATCTAATGTTTCCATGGCTGAGAATCACCGGGAACCTCTAGAAAACTTAAAATCGGTCCAGGTTGGGAGCTGCACACCTAATGAGTTTTATGAGGCAGTGGAGGTCAGCCTAAGAACTTTGCTTTTTCAGCAAACAAAAAGAATCCAGGCTCATCTAGGAGGTCGGACTAAAAGGGAAGAAAGTAGCCATAGGGAGATCGTTTACTAGGGGGCTGATGAATTCGCCTGAGCAGTTGCTGTGGTAGGTAGATTGTCATCTTGGTCGCCACCGGGTGTGAGAAGGTGATGGGTGACCAGGAGCTGAAGTGGGGGTTTGCTGCGTGGATGAGGTGACATTTTGGGAGAAACATGGGGGGTGCTGTGGGTAGCAGCATGGGGCTGGGGTCAGTTCTGAAAATTGAGGTTGATCTGAGGTGATTTTAAGAAAGAGGGCGTGACGGGCAGTTCACGGATTTGAGGGAGGACGAGGGGGCGGGGGTGGTGGTACTGATGTCCTCAGAGAGGTGAGTTTTGGAAGGGAGAGTATACCTGTTTCCCTAGGACAGAAGGGGAATGGCAAAGGACGCCCTGATTCATCCCCTCCTGTGCCTGACTGTTCTAGATGTGGGAGACACAGCAGCTCAGACGAGGTGCTTGATCTTCCAGCCGTGGGGCAAGGGAAGAGCGCTAAGTAAAGTTACAAGAAATGTTGAAGAGCAGAGGATGACAGTGGAATCAAAGCAACCTCAGTAAAAGGAAGGAGTATGGAGCTTTCCTGTGGGGGCCTTTCCAAGACCCAGGCAGGAGGCAAGGAGAGAAGAGAGGGTGAGCCAGGGAAGGCCCGGGGAGGCTCCCAGGCAGAAGGGTCCCACCTACCGCACTTTGCACATGAAAAGCACCCCGAAAGTGGTGGAAGAGAGGAGTGCTGGCCTCAGGGCTAAGAGCTGAGGACTGTGAGGCCCCTGTGGTAAGAGGTTACAGGAGCACAGGGTTACAAACCCCACATTAGAAACATAAACATTTGAAACCCACAGAATGTAAACGCTCCGGGTCACAGCACACTCAGCAGCTCACGGAATCCATACAGCAATTGAGCACATTAAGAAGCCTACTAACTCTGCTATCTAGCTGGAGAAGAGCTGTAATTTAGTAACCCTAGCTATCAATTACTCCTGTTTTCCTCATCTGTAAAATGAGAAGTTGGGACAAAGTGACCTCAAAGTTCTCTTCCAGCACAGTCCAGGTGAAGGGAGAGCACACACACACACACACACACACACACACACACACATGAATTTAGGAGAGTTGATTTGCTTGTTTAACATCTGCACTGAATGTTTAACTACTGATGTTCAAAAATGCAGCTGCGGGACTGCATACCGGTGTCAGGGGCGGTGCACACCAAGCTCCCAGTCCAGAGAACATCCTGACTTTAAAATAAATTGCATACTCTAAATTCTGGTGGGGGAATGGCTAGCAATGGAGGCAATTTCCTAGGACAGCAGGTAGGTCAGAAAATTAACATCTGCACTGAATGTTTAACTACTGATGTTCAAAAATGCAGCTGCGGGACTGCATACCGGTGTCAGGGGCGGTGCACACCAAGCTCCCAGTCCAGAGAACATCCTGACTTTAAAATAAATTGCATACTCTAAATTCTGGTGGGGGAATGGCTAGCAATGGAGGCAATTTCCTAGGACAGCAGGTAGGTCAGAAAATTAATTAGAGATGATGACATCCCAGTATTTTCAAGCTTGGAGAACGGCTTTGTAAATATTGAGAAGAAAATAAGCTTTTCATCACCAGGGGACACAAAATAAAGCTATGCAAATGTAGATCATCTCCCAGAGCAGAGATTAACTTGGGACAATATATTCAGGACAGCTTTTTATCACCCTCAAAGACTGAGAATAAGAATCAATCTGGACTTGGTTGGACCCTAAAAAACAAAGGTAACATGTAATCAATGGGAAGATGGCTATTAGCTAGCTTCTGCTGGCTACTAAAATCTTGTCGCTTCTCATTGGTAATGTGACTTGGGAATAATACTATGGAGACTATCGAAAGAAACAAACCTAAGCATGTGTGCTTTCTCACACAATCACAGTTGTTACACATCTCATTAAAAATCAAGGTCTTGAAGGTTCAAAACTCAACATTATTGCAGATAATTTATTTGTAAATTTGATTGAAACGAATAGCCCACAGTTATTTTCAAAAGCACGGTTGGTGCTTTTCTCTTGAAATCAGCCTTCGGCCTAACTAACTCTAAGTTAGTTCCACGCCCAAAGCACTTGCAGGCGAGAGAGAATGACAACTGAAACAGTACATTATGCAGATGATAAAATGAGTTTCCCTCTTTCCAGGGTAGGGTGCGAGAATGCATCAGCTATTTTATGGATGCTGCTGCTATTATATTTTTAATTTGAGATACTGCAGAGTAGTGCTCAGTCACTTTTATGCACTTGAGTTTTAAATACAGATGTTTTCTTCGAGTCAGTAAGACCGAAGCCAGTGGAAGTGAAAAAAGCAAATAGCGGGGAAAGCCATATCTGAGATCACCACGAGTCACCCTGGTTGAAGCTTTCAGAAACCTCCTCTGAGGCTTGGGGTTTTTCCCCCTTCCTTTGCCCCATGCCCTTTTGACAGCTGGAAACAGGCTGCGTTCCTTCCCTGGAGTCTGGGTGCTGGGCCCAGGCTCAGTGGGAGGTCGCAGGTTAACTGGAGAAGGGAGGAAGAGGCTGGGCCAGGCAGGGGACTCCAGGCCTGCAGGCTGGGGTTCCTGTGATGCTGAGCCATGGGCAAAGCAAGCCCTCTTGGACCCAGGAGGCCAGGAGGGGCATTGGCTTTGGACCAGAACAGTCATCCCCAGCATGGAGCAGCCCCCAAGTTCTTGCAGGGGCAGACCCTGCAGGTCCCTGGGTCTTGGGTCCTGGGATATTTATATCCAGATTGTTTTAAAGCAGAAGGAGGTAGAAGCAGGTCAGGCTTGGTGAGATGCCCTAAACAATGCCTGAAGAGCGAGTTCCTATACACGCTGCAAAACCCTGGGCACGTCCTATGGCCTGTTCTGGCCTCAACTTCCTCGTCTGTATGAGGGCAGAGGACTGGGCTTCTTTGTGTGAAATCCCTCTAATCATTAAGTTTCCATGAAATTTAAAGTAAAGCACAGAAATTGATTGCACTCCCAATTTGGGCTTAAATGAGCAGATCCAATATTTGTTTTTTCCCCAGAGGATGCCCTGCCTAGTTTTGTTACACAGAAGGTTTGGAAAGGTCAGTGTTCCTGGCCCATACAGATTCAGATGCACAGAGTCAGAGTGATGCTACCACTTAGAAAGCCCTCTGGTGATCAGAGAACCGGAGTCAGCAACCAATCTTCTGTGTGTGAAATCCCAGTGGGGTAATGTGCAGGGAATTATATTGGACCCTGTTGACAAAACACCTACGGGCTTGCTTAGATATGAGCCTGCTCTTAATCCTCACGTCTGCTTCTAAGGAGCAAAGAATGGGAAACACAGTTTTGCATCGGTCCCACCATCAACATGCCACTCTCGTCAAACTTGCAGATTTTTGTCATTTTCCCTGGGTTTTGACAAAATGGAATGGTTACAAATTCATCTTCTGGGATTCATCTCAAGTCTGCATTGGGCATTTTGGTGATAGGGAAACAAGCTACTGTAAGAACGGGATTACTTTTTGGAGACAGACTCAGGTTCAAATCTTCTGACTATAACCCAACGTGGGGGACATTACCTAACGCCACCCAGTAAAGGCATCCTGAAGACAAAGCCAGACACTCTGCAGGATAACTGGGTAGTGACTTGGACAACTGACTCATCTCCCGACTCTGTTTCCTTATCTGGAGAAAGGGAGGGGGTGAGGCTTCCTTGCTTCAGACTGGGACTACAGTCTGCTAAAAGCTCAAGCCCCGGGGGACCCAGCAAAGGTGGATGGGCGGAGCCCTTAAACCTCCAGTGTCTTCTGGTCCACTGGGGCAGTAGGAGGCGCCTGCATCTGACACCTGCTCAGGTTGGAACCCAGCATGGGCCTGGGTCTCAGCAGGGCACAAGTATTCTAGGCCTGGTTCACCTAGAAACAATGAAACACAGGAAAAGCGGAAGTGGCCAGGCTCCAGGGGCTGGGAGGATGGATCACGAAATGCGAACAGGAAAAGGAAAGAACCAAGAAGGGGAACCACAGTGGAGAATCCAGCAGCAGCTGGACGAGGGACCTGATGGTGGGAGGTGGGAGAAGAGTGAGGGGGAATCCGAGGTCCGTGGCCATGGAGCAGCCACAGGAGCAACCGTCCTGCAGACAGCCCAGGCCAGCGGGAGGCGCTTCACCACGTCCATGACTATGCCCATGGCTGCAGCCCTGACTTCTGATCATCACCAGCATCCCTGTCTGAAGACACCTGGAAGACTCAGAGAGCAAAGCTTACCCTCTGCCTCCTCTTTTTGATTTCAGGGCACTCTGAGGTTTCTCTCCACAGCAGCTCAAGCAGTGTGTCATCAATTTATAGGTTACGGGGATTTGCCACGCGCCCGTGTGTGTTTTCCACTGAAGTCTGTGCTTTTTCCTGGTCCCACCCGAATTCCAGATCATGGCTCACTTGCATGCCAAGTTCATGTTCCTTCTTTGTCACACTCTCTCCTCCAAATAAAACACAGAGGAAAGTTAGTTTTCTAATGCTTCGATGTCATTTTTAAAGGAAAGAAGAGCCTCTAGGTTAACGTTGAAAGAATGATTTCTGGTTAATTTTGCATTGGGAGCAATATTTTTTCAAGAGCCAAACCAGTAGCTGTTTCTTTTGCATCTCAGTTTTTGTCCACCAGCATGAGGCTGTGTGGGGTATAAATCTTTATATTGGTTACCAAAAGAGCTGCGTGAAGATTTTGTAAGGGTGGCCACTTAGACTCTGGAGTTCAAGCTTTCTTTTTTGCACTTGTTTTTGTTTTGTTTTGTTTTAGAGCAGAACTGTGTGGTAAGGGAATCAGGCCCTTAGGAAGGGACATAGAAATTCTTTTTGGTCATTTTGAGCATGTTTTATCCCCGCCAATTAATAAAACACAAGACGGAACTGGTTTCCCAACACTTTCATGAAAATCATCTCCTTTCATTCTCCCATCCTCCGCATGGCAGGAACATCTTGAGTTTTCCAAGAAGTTTTCTAAGAAGTTCGACAACTTGCCCTGACCTCCCACCCATCACTAGGGACACAAGCCAGGGTGCCCAAGGCAGAGAAAGGTGCCCTTTCTTCCCCGGCTGCTAAAGGACTAGCCCATGCTCACCTCATTGCAGGGGAAAGGTAGACAAGACTCAGCAGAAGAGTGGAAAGGGGAGGAACCAACTTCCAACGTAACGTCCGGCAGCGTGCACAGGCTCAGAAGTGTGTTGCACCTGCCCCAGGCACGGGGCTCAGCATTTGCTCGTCTGGAATTCACAGGCAGGGATGGGAGATTCCAACCATCCAAGTCCTCTTCCCCAGGTCAGGCCACCTGTCACATCGGAATGACTCTTCTTCCTCTCCTACCCTCACCTGCCAGGAATGGTTTCTCACCCCACCCAGCTGTGTGTCTGTAAGGCTGCAGGTGCTCCTATCAGGTATTTGTATTCTCCTACCAGATGTTTCCAAGATGTCCTTTACTCATTCAATTTCTGCTAAGAAAATTTAGGCTGTGATTTTTTTTGAACTCCTACCCACATATTTTTTGAAACTACTGTAATATGATTTCGTATTCTGCTGAAGTCTTGCATGATTCGCAGCATGGCACTGGAAAACTGGAAGACAGGCTGAGCAGTGCAAACCTGGACAGCACATCGGAGCCCAGCTAGCTTGCTACTCTGAGAGGAACTGCCATCTTTGTCAGATCCTGTTTGTATTCAGAAGGTCACTGATCTTATGAAAGAAGAAAGTTGAAAAGTCTTGTTTTAATCATGGCAGCAATTAGGAAATTTGGACATTGCACACCCCCCCTTCTATTGGAAACACATTCAAGAATGAATGTTTAGTTTACTCGGTGTCTCAGAAGCCTGAATGAAGCACAGGGTTGGCAAGAACCAGGTGCTCGCCCAATTCTGGTGAGCTGCTGGAATCTGCCATCCTTTCCCCAGTGATCATTGGTGTATGTGACTTCAGGACCATCCCACAGCTGAGCACGCTTGTCTTAAATCATGATAGATGCCAACCTGCTGAATCACTCACTTAACTTTAAGAAGGGCAGGGAGTGGGGTAGCCACACTTACAGCAATAGAGGACAAGAAACTTTCACCACTAACACATTAGGAATAGACATTCTCTGGTCTCTAGGACTCTGCCTCACCAGCCAGTGACAGTCTCCCAATTCCTCGAACTCGGTTCCTAGGTGTCAGCTGCCAGGGTGTCTACCAAGCCTTCTGCCATTTTTTCTCACTGGTTCCTGCAGACCCTGCACTGATTCTTTCTGTGACACATTGCCATGCTTAGCCTTCCCCCTTCTCCCCTTCTCTGATAAATGAGCCAAAGGTGGTACCACTGTCTTAGTCAGTTTCTTATTGCTGACACTCAATGCCTGACACCCACAGTTAATGGAGGAGGGGTTCATTTTGGCTCATGATTTCAAGAGTTTCTGTCCACGGTCAGCAGGCTTAAACACAGAAACAGCAAGGTGGAAGGGCCTGGCGGAGGAGAGTGGCTCAGGTCATGGTGGACAGGAAGCAGGGAGCAAAGGGAGGAGCCAGGGAGGGAGATGCACTCTTAGGTCACGCCCCCAGTGATCTGCCTCTCCCAGTCAGGCTCCACCTCCCAAGAGCAAGGCAGCTATAGCGCTGCTATGGTCAAATCCTCTTTCAAACACCCCACTTATGAGCACATGTGACCTTTGGGGGACATTCTCACAGCAGACTCTGTGGTTTCTCATCGGCCTCTCCAATCATCCACTCTCTTTCTGCTTAGATGATTTTTCTTCACATCCTTGGCAAATATATTCCCCTGGGCCTCATGCTCATCCTGCTTTCCTTTTTGCATCCTCTCCCTTATCCTCTTGGCCATTCACAGGCCCATCACTGTATTTGTTGCTCACCTTGTTACAGAGACATAGCCATAGCTCCAACACTCCCAGGATACTTCTCCCAGGAAACTTCTCCGAACAGAATGGTCCCAAATCAAACTCCTATTATCCTAAGTCCAGTTACTTGTGGTTTTTGGTTCCCAACAAGGGCATCATCACCGCAGACCTCTCTGTCTGTAAACTTGTTCGCTTCAGGATCCAACCTACAACAAGCCCGCAGATGCCCCTGCTGATTGCCTCTTGGCCTCAGCCCCTTTCTAAACCCACTGCCCCGATCCAGGTCTTCATTCCTTTTACCGGGCCTCTCAAAGTTCCATATTGACTCATTCCTTAGCATCATAACCGGACTGTGCTCCTAAAGTATATCTTAGGACCCCCAAATCAGGCTTCTGTGACTCTTCCTTGCCTGTCAAACTGAACGACAAGCTTTCCTTCCCAACCAGCCTCCCCTGAGTCTCTCCTGCCCAGGCTGAACATGAAGGGTGTGGCCTCTGGAGACCAGTGACTCTTCCAAGACCAACCTCATGTCTTCTGAAGCCTGTAACTGTAAGCAAGTTAATCTCTGCCCCTTCTTTGTGTCACCTCCAACAAGGTCAAAGAGAAAGCCCACCTGTGTGGGGGACTGGGAGGAGCTTACAAGTGCTTCTGAACGGGCCGTGGGCCAGGGGGCAGCACTGTCAGCCCTGTGTCCTGCCGGTGGAGAGGCTCTCTGCTGTCTCCCAGCTGCAACTTTAGCCCCTGGGCACAGGGCCTGCAGCCTCTCGCTGGCTTGCTGGGGCTCCCATCGTTCTCCTGGGTCCTGGTGGCACCTCCTCCCCATCCTGACCCTAGTCCTCCTCACTCCTCTAGCTCACCTCAAATGCTCCAGTGCCTTTGCCAACTCTCCCAAAGGGTCTGGTCTTTCCCTTTTTGGCTTCCCCAGTCCTTGGCCGAGGTCCCTGGTACAATTTGCACCACTTTCTCTTGGACACTGGACTTGTGGCATTTTTGTCCCATTTCTCCAATTCCAGTCCTATCCACATCTCCTTTCAGCAGCAGTCTGGAGCCTTCCTGCAACCACACTTATCTTCTGAGTAGATCTAAAACTGCCCAGCCTCCTGCAGGGCTAGCCCTGGGCTTGGGTGTGCTCCCTGGAGATGACCCAAGATTCAAAACCAAGTATGCTCAAAGCTAAAGGAAGTTGATCAAAAAACCCATTAACTATGCACAGTGTTTCTACCACTGTCAGCTAGCAAGTCAAACCATTTCTCCAAATATTGAAAATTAAACAAAACGCTGCAAAGAAAACATAGTTTAAGGGACATTCCAAGGATACTGAATGAGACAAGTTGACATCCATAATCATAAGACTTACGTTTAAATATGCACAGCCTTACGTAGCCAGAGACTCTGCGGGGCTAGGAATTGGTAGGTGCCACTCCCAATCAGAATGAAATACATTTGAATAAAATCACAGGAAAGTGGCTGGTATCAGCTTTATTCCTATAACAGTTCATCTGTAAGATGGGCAAAGCTAGGAAACTCCCTTCATTTTAAAATGTGAAACACGCCCAAAGTTAAACGCCTTGATGCCGCAGGTACACTAGCACTTCCTGTGTCTAAACATGGCACTTGGAAGGAAGCCAGGATGACACTGATTTTGCTGTCTCCTGGATTTGCTGGCCCATGGATCAAATCACCCATTACATTCCAGAGCCACAGGAAATTCTTCTTTTCCCTTTTCCCCTGGTTCCCCACCCCCAGGTTCAAGCTTTCAGCACACACTTCCATACTGAATCCTGCCAGCTCTGTATTACTTTTCTGCTTTGTTTCGAGTCTCTTCCATTTCTTCTTGCCAAAGTTCTCTATACGTTTCCTATTTTCTTCTATGAGTTTAACACAACTGCTTTATCTCAGTCACACAGTGCTCCTTTCTTCTCATCAGGAAAAGATGTCTCCCTTCTTAGAATCCCTGCTCAGGCTCTTAGCAGCCAACCTTCTTAGAATCCCCACTTGGACTCCTAGAAGCCAACCTATTGCTTCGTAATGTCCACCATGGAGGAAAACACGCCAGTTGCTGGTTTTCATATTTTACCTATTTCCAGAGACCTTCAATTAAAGAAGGTTGATGCTACATTTGCAGCAGCGGGTAGATGTGGGATTTCAGGGAAAGGGAAGATGTAATTATAGCAGAAATTCATGTTCATGCAGGTAAATTTCATAAACATTGTCTGAAGGATTCCTTGGATTCAGCATTAGGGGTGCAAAGGGAGAATTTGGTGAAATCTCTGCAGCTGGGCAGGGGAAAGAGACCTGTAAATAGGCCACAGTGAAGTCGGGACCAAGTGGGACAAGTTGCCCATCTCCAGGCAGGGAATTCCAGGAGGAGATTGCCAGAGGGTTCCTCCTGCAGGCTTAGAGCTTTCCTGCCAGAGCCAGACCTGAGTCTAAGCCCCCAGGGACAGCTCATCACCTCGTTATAAACAATGAAATCATATGTGTAGTGAGGTAAAAAGACAAAACTCAAGTGAAAAAGCTTGATAGAGGAGAAGAGGCATTGTCTTCCTAAAGAATTTTAAAATATGATGTATGTAAAAGTAGGATCAACGAGTGCCCTATTTCTCCTCAGACTGGAATATGCAGCACACGTAAAACCTACATTTAACTTTGAAATCACACAAGATTCAGCTATCATGGACCTGCGTGTGTTTAACTGAGGCTTATAAAAATAGATGAAGCCTATATACATAGATGATTTAATCAAATGATCTCTTTGAAACTTACGGTCATTTTTTTTTTCTAGCCACTATTCACTGAAGTTGTATTTCAGTGTGTGTATGTATGCATCTTTGTAAATTCACTAATACTTTTTTAGGAATAAAGTGCATTTAAAAAATGACATAAAAGTGTATTCTCTGCTGCTGAGTGTAAGTGGCCACCTTGAAATTGGAAGGCTGACTGGTCACCTGCCGGGGTGGCTCAGGCCCTGAAGGCACAGCCAAGTAGAGCATGAATGTCACATGGTGCACCCTTGATCACGTGACACACTGCCATCCCACAGCCATCGTGGTTGACCAGCATGTCCCAGCAGAGTCCCGTGAAAATTAGTCAAAGGAATGAATAGCAGCTCTAGGGGGTGGGAAGAGGCGGGAGATGGTTCTAATCCCAAATGGCTTTCCAACCTGGATTCAAAAGTAAAGAAAGTCTCTACTGTAAGATTCTTGAGGTTTTCTAAGGTGTCCAAAGTGCCTGCGAAGGCTGAGGATTTAGCTCAGTGACACGGCAACTGCCTCTCAAGCTCAAGGTCCTGAGTTTGATCCTCGGGACCCCCCCCCCAATAAAACAACCAAAGTACCTATAATGTGGCAAGAGAGGGCCTCAGGCTAAGGAGGAATTCTTGGACCTTTCTGCGTGCAGACCTTCTGACTTCAGGAGGGCTGGACTCCTGCAGACCGTTGGACTCACTGCTG